ACATAAAGCAGTAACTCTAGCAGACTCAAATAGTACACCATTAAACTTACGTTCACGTCATATGGACATGACACAACATATAAAAAGCATAGACACCATTGAGCAATTTTGGGCTTGAAAGATACTCCATAGCAGGCATCCTTACGACCTGGTTCAGGATTTTGTTGACAAAACTGCCTAAAACAACTGGTTAGCTTGGGGATGCCTCTTTGGGGAGATGGAAGGCTTCATGATTGCCATAAACGATCAAGTCATACATACTAAAAACTACAGAAAACACATACTCAAAAGATACAACAGTCACAAATAACACATGCAGAAAATGTTACATCGTGCCTGAAACTATACAACACGTCACTTCTGGTTGCAAGCTCTTGGCACAGACAGATTATTTACATAGACGTAATCAAGTAGCAAATATAATATACCAAGAGCTTGCAAAGAAACACAAATTATCAGATATTCACGAACCATACTACAAATACATTCCACAGACAGTATCGGAAAACAACATGCACAAAATGTACTACAACAGAGCTGTAATTGCAGATAAAACAATTTACCACAACAGACTAGACATCGCACTCGTTGGCAAACACAATAAAATTACATACATTATAGACATAGCCATTCTAAACACTCACAATGTACAAAACACATGCACTGAAAAAATTAGCAAGTACACAGAACTCGCCTAGGAAATAAGGCATCTGTGGAGGATGAACAGGGTACTTATTGTACCTGTTGTTCTCTCCTGTACAGGTGTGATACCACACACACTACACAAAAGTCCGGGAACATGACAATTGAATAGAAATACATACATCACACTACAGAAGGCCACTATATTGAATACATGTCATATTTTTAGGAAATTCCTGAATACAGACACTGACNGATGTTAAGCCTAACAAAAATTTTTTAAAATAATAATCGTCGCTATTGTATCATTAAAAATTAGAAAATTAAGCCTCGTTTAAATACTGGCTCCCTTTCATGGTCGATCCAGTGTTGCCAGCTAAAACACGTAAAAATAATATTAAAGTAGCCAAGACATAGCCAAATATTGTAGTGCCACATCACTAGCGGACATTTGAAATTTGCCGGCTAGGACGGTCAGTTAACCGAGGTGACGGTTAACCGGGGATCGGATAATCGAGGCTCTACTGTATATCTTCGAAATATAACTATATTTTATTAGTGAAATATTTGTTCAATTATTATTCATAATAACTAATCTTTTTACATTAGAATTGGGTTGAAAGTGTAAAACTGATTTTCAACAATAATATATTATGTTTCTTAAACAATCAATATAAAAAAACTCAGTATGGATACTAATGTTCCCTATACCCATGATATTCAGTCTCAAAACTCCAAACACAAAACATCACAGTGTTTGTCACAGATTGCCTTTCTACAGGACTAGCACATTCTCTTAGTCTTCCTCTTAGACAGAATGAGCACTGTTGTTTTCTTTCCAATTCCTGAGGATGTTTCTGAGGATTCTTAATGTTCAGAATTTCTGAGATAGTGAGTCGTAAACTTATGCATAAAGTATTTGTTTCAAGACAATTTTTTATATATGGTTTCATCATCATTGAAAAAAGTTATTGTAGTGTGTAAATTTTATGCAAAAATTGCAACAAAATATGCTATTATCAGTGAAACATATCTGAGAGTTTTCTGACATAAAGAACACGCTGGATCTCAGGAACCCAGGCAGTGCACCAATGTTTTTCACTATTCACTACTAAAATGTCTGAAGGTCACTGAAGCTGCTACTGTTGGAATTCAAATGCCAGGTGTACCAACTGAATTTGCATGATGTCCAAAGCATGTATTGATATATTGGGTTGTTTGGATGGCCAATTGAAGCCAACGAAAACAAAATAAAAGGTACCAATTGAAGCAAACTGTTGAATAACAACACGTGAAATCACTAAGAGATTAAATTTGTCAAGTTGAACCATTTATGATTACTTGAAACAAATTGGTATTGTTTCAAAGCTCAATATATGTGTTCCACATGCTCTTAAAGAGAGATGCTCTCTTTGATGGGATTTTAATGAAATTTTTTTTGGAGCTTTTACAAGACAATTTAACAATTGATTCGAAAGTGTACTACCATCGAGTAAACAAATTGAGTAATATCATTAAACAGAAAAGGCAGCCAGAATTGATCAACAAAACAGATGTAATGTTCTACCATGATAATGTCAAATTTCACACAAGTTTGGTAACTCGTCAGAAACTGTTATAACTTAGATGGTACATGCTATCACACTGACCATATTCGCCAGATCGAGCACTCTCGGATTACTACTTGTTCTGGTCTATACAAATTTTTTTTAACTGTAAGACATTTACTTGAAATGACAGTGTCAAAAATCACTTGGATCAGTTTTTTGTAAGCAATGATCAAAACTGTTATGAATGTGAAATCATACTACTACCAAAAACAATGACAACAAATATTTGACAAAAATGGTTGATAAATAATTCAACAAAATATTTATTTATTATAAAAATATTGTGTTTTTTTCGCAGAAAAAAATGAACTTACTTTCTGAACAACCCAATAAGTAGAGAAGTATTGGGGAAATTAAATATCAACAGGGTCCCAGGGTCCCCAATATGACTGCTGAGGGTTAATATAAGAAATTTTTCTTGTTGTTTTCAAGGAATATTTTTATAATCAACATGAAACTAGTCTTATAATATAATCAAGATGGGTTAATAATAATAATAATATTTTCAGAACACAGTTAAATGAAAAACACACAGTTACAGCAATAAACACATATGTTGTCTTAGTACTCACATATTCTTTTGGAGTTATACATTGGACTCACACAGATCTTGAGCAACTCCAAATGAAAACAAGAACACTTACTAAGCATAAACAACATTGGACTCACACAGATCTTGAGCAACTCCAAAGGAAAACAAGAACAACACTTACTAAGCATAAATAACAATATTTTAAATCCACCATAGAAAGATTAATCTTTCCACATGAAGATGGCAGACACAGTCTTGATTGGCATAGTAAACCTTAGCTGTGAAAGTTTTCCTACAAAAAACAAGAAACATCACAGACACACCATTAAACTTACGTTCACATCATACAGACTTGACACAACATATAAAAACCATAGACACCATCAAGCAATCATGGGCCCAAAAGGCACTCCATGGGAAGCATCCTTACGATCTGGCCCAGGATTTTGTTGATAAAACTGCGTCAAACAACTGGTTAGATCGGAGGGATGCCTCTTTGGGGAGACGAAGGCTTCATGATTGCCATAAAGGATGAAGACATACATACTAAAAACTACAGGAAACACATACTCAAAAGATACAACACTCACAAATGACATGTGCAGAAAATGTTACATCATGCCTGAAACTATACAACACGTCACTTCTGGTTGCAAGCTCTTGGCACAGACAGATTATTTACATAGACATAATCAAGTAGCAAATATAATATACCAAGAGCTTGCAAAGTAACAAAAATTATCAGATATTCACGAACCATACTACAAATACATTCCACAGACAGTATCGGAAAACAACATGCACAAAATGTATTACGACAGAGCTGTAATCACAGATAAAACAATTTACCACAACAGACCAGACGTTGCACTTGTTGGCAAACACAATAAAATCACATACATTATAGACATAGCTATTCCAAACACACAATATACAAAACACATTCACTGAAAAAATCAGCAAGTACACAGAACTTGCCCAGGAAATAAGGCATCTGTGGAGGATGGATAGGGTACTTAATGTACTTGTCGTACTCTCCTATACAGGTGTTGTATAATACAAACACAAACAAACAAACAAACAAACAAACAAACAAACAAACACACACACACACACTACCAGAAGGCCACTATATTGAATACATGTTATATTGTTAGGAAATTTCTGAATACAGACACACACACTGACACACTAATTTAATTTTTGTCTTGTTTTGGTTGCTGTGCATTGACTCTGGTCCAGCATAGTGCAGAGCCACCAGTGTCAACTGAGTATAACCCACTACATCTAACATAATAATAATAAGGGCAGAGTCCAAATAATTCAGAGTTGAAATTTGAAATTTGGTACACAGTTAGGATATGCCAGGAGAATGCACACTAAGAAGTGATATTTGGAAATTCTTTTCCTGGAGGAAAGAGGAGGAGAGAGTTAGTTTTAGTCAGTGTAAAGTGTAAATAATGAAGGAAAATAAATAGTGGCATGTATAGTATACATTTTGGAAATTAATAAATAATTTAATCATTTCTACCTTTCTGGTAGCCCAAAAACAATAAATCCAACATAAACGAATTTGAATGAATGTTTGAATTTGTTTCAAATTCGAAAACTTTCATATATTAAATTTGAAATATAATGTTCCATACTATGTACTATGGTATATGGTAATGTACTATTTTAGATGCGGTTTTTTGCATTTTCACAGAAAATTGAATATATCTTTAGACCCATCTAAAAATTCTCTGATTAGTATCTGAAGAGGGAGACTTAATTTTTTCACCCGTTGAAAACGGGTAAGATCGGCTATGTAACTATAAAGGTTATCTTACATAACAGTTTATCACACCAAATGACCAATTTAACACATTTTAAAAATTTTTTATTTCTTTACTGTACACAATTTAAAAAACTTTTAAAATGTGTTCGATTGGGCACTTGGTGTGATAAACCCTTACGTAAGATAACCTTTGTCAATATAAATCAAATACTATAATATAATATACTGTAGTAGAAAGGTTAGAAGTATGAAATAATCTAATAATCTTAATCTTCACTATTGGTACTTTTCGCTCGAGCTCATCTGCTAGTTTAATGAAAAATATAACCAAATACAAATAATCACAAATAATTTTATTATCATTACTTACTTTGATTAATTAATAAGAAATATTTGTTTTTAAAATTAAAATTAACATACTTAAAATTTTTAAATTCAGATTTCAAATGAATCAAATCTACCAAATCAGTTAGAAAATCATACGTTAAATACTGAAATATCCTCTTCTAATAATGAAATGTGGACAGCTACCATCGCACCAATAAATTTAGGGATTTCAGTAAGTTTGTTTTGATATTTGAACTTTATATTAGTCTATAAATTAACTTGCAAAAATTTGGAGTTTAATATCAAATATTAATTTTTAAACTTTTTAGATTTTTCTTATATTTCTTTTATAATCAAGATGATGATTTTGAGAAGTTTACAGGTATTCCTTGTTTAATGCAGTTTTGCTTAATGCAAGATTTGATTAATGCACAAAATTAATTGCGCAAATCATTTTATATACGTGGCAGAAGTTTTAATTAATGCAGCTTTGCCAACTATCTTTACTTAACATAGATACTGTATTTGATTAATATGATTTTGATATAAGCAGTAGCATCGAGGGATTAATTAACTGCATTAATCAAGGGATACCTGAATTTTTATATTTATTTTTTTTACCGTTTTTTTCTTTTGAAAGAATTGTTTGTTTAATCAGTAAATTAAAAACTATATTTATTCTGTGATTGAAATATGAATTTTCTTTTTTTGTTATTTTTTCTGCAACAAGTTATTTTATTTTTAAAACATTTTTTAAAAAACAATTGTAATATCAAACTTATTAATGGGTTGGGAGTGTGAAGTTAGTCTTTAACCTAATAATTTAACTATTGCCTAATATTTGGGCTTTAATATGGCTATAATGAAATAATTAATACAAATAAATTTGGTTCCAGAGGTAAGCGTTAGGCACCAGCTCTTATCTAAATTAATAATTATAATTTAATAAATAATTTAGAACCTTCTGGAAGAAAATAACTAACAATAGTTGGATTATTATATTAACTCATCGGGCTTTGAGATGTGTATTATATGTATATATACCTTGCTGGGGACAGCGATAGCTGGTTGAGTGTTGCAGAGGAGATGTTCATTGGCCGTTGATGTAGGAGTTGTCTCCAACCAGCACCATTAATAACCATGGAAGGTTATATCAAAATTTAAATACTTCTGGAAATGAAGGCTAGTTTGGGTCTGAATGGCATAATTGGTAGTGCATCACATGGTAAGCGGAAGCTATGGTTCAGGCCCTCCCCTGGGTTCAGTTATTTTTTTCCAGAAAGTTCTAAATTATTTATTAAATTATAATTATTAATTTACATAAGAGATGGCACTTAACACTTACCTCTAGTACCAAATTTGTTTGTATTAATTATTTGATTATAGCTATATTATAGCCTGAATATTTAAGTGATAATTGGATTATTATATTAATTCATCAGGCTATGAGATGTATATTCTTTAACCGTTAAAATAAAATACTCACAAACACATATATATATATATATATATATCATCTTTAGACCGTACCTTGAATAACAGGATATTTAAAAATGAATCGAAAACAGTTAATTTCCAATAATAACTTTTAAAATATTAATATATATCTTTTGTTTTTTTAAACATTCGTGTGTAATATCTCGAGAGGGGTAGGACTTAAATGATTTCATTTGTCACTAACATTTATACGTTTTCATAAAACTCAACCCCACAGATTATTAATTTAATACTTTTGGTAGATAATAGAAAACAAACAACGGTTTTCGTTTAACCCGATGATAAATAACGGATATCGTAAGTAAATGTGTGTCATTTTTTCATTTGTGTTATTTGATTGAATTAACGTAGTTGAGTTTTAAAAAATACTTAAAAGTTTTAAAACAAAAGCTAATAATAATAATAATAATGTAAATGATTGTAATCTAAAATATTGTTTAATTTTGGGTGTAGGAATTTTTAAATTTTAAGTTAAAACACACAAAATACAATATTAGTAGATATTAAAATTTACGTTTACAACATTATTTAGAAAAATTCCTTAAGGATAAATTAAATCAATATCACAATTCTGAATATAGTATTAAAAATACAGGCCAATTCCTTGAAAAACTTAACTGCGGAATGTTGGATATATATTTTTATCATTTAGGCTCATCTATACAAAAAAATATAATTGATACATTGACCCAATAATTACATTTTAAATTAGTTAATTTGTTTTAAATCGTATTTTATTTGTAATACAAAATTTTTTAGACAATTGGATGGTATCTTCATGGGTTCATGTATAGGCCCTAAATTAGGACCCGTGATCGAATCCAGACAGGTCGAATAATCCCCAGGAATTTTTCGGGGGGGGTGATCCGACCGGATATGTTGGCCCACGTCTCTCATCAACCGGTCGCCCTATTGTGGGCCTGGCCGAATCAATAATGGGATTACTAAGAGGCCTCTTAGCGCCCACAGGAAGGAAAGTGTTAAATATAGTGTAATCGAACAATTGTTTATTGATACATCATCATAACGCACTTAAATTTGATAGTGGCTCGCCCCTGTACATGATACTTTTCCTGATAACAATGAAAGCATGTCAGTCATGTATCAAACTCCGTTTAGAAAATTTTTAATTTAAATAGCGTGACTTTCAGCTAAAAGCGAAGTTCATATATATACAGTAGAGCGTCGATTATCCGAATGTCAATCACCCGAAAGAATTCCAGTCGGCAAATTTAAATTTTCGCCAGTGCTGTGGCGCTGCAATCTTTGGCTATGTCTTGGGCTACTCGAATATTTTACGTTTTTGATACTAAATTAACTTCTGAAGTATAATTTTTTGTTTTTATATTTTTCAATATATTTATTTTGATTGTACGAAATAAAAAAAAAATTTTTAACGATACAATAGTCTTCGCTAGGTTTACATCGACGAAAATTCAACGCGAAGTGACACGCAACGGAGAAAAATTTCAACATGGGATAGGTTATTTTTTTCGTATATAATCGATTATCCGAAACATCGATCTTCCGAACAACCCATCCCGATTGATTCGGATAATCGACGCTCTACTGTATATATATATAATTAATCGGGGTTCCTATCTGGTCTTGACATTCATCTAACACCGTTATTGAGATTAAGGACGGACAAACGGACGACATAGGTGTACAATTTTTTCAAATTGCAGCCCAATTATCAACAATGAGACAAAAAAAATAATTTCTTTAAAACAAAGAAGACGACGAATATTTATTTAATAAAAATTAATAAGTAAAATATAATAAACAGCTTTCAAAAATAGAGTTGGCTTTTGATGCAGTTTTCTTATGTACTGTACAACCCCCAGCGAAAATCTCCGTTCCCACGCCATATATTATGTTNGTTCCAACGCGAAAAACATACTCAAATTAAAGCCAAGTAATACATTAAAAAAAATAACTGTAGTAAGAAAAACAAATGAAAAATGCGAACTAATGTAACGTCGTATGGTGAGTTTTTGTTCGTATCGTGGAGCAAAAATATGTTCGAATTTCATGTCGTATCCTGAAAATTTTGTATGCTGGGGCGTTCGTAACCTGAGGTACCACTGTACAGGTATTACTTAATTTGGACTTATGTAGGCTCTTATACTTCACTTCATATTAAATGAAATTAGAAATAAATAAATTAATTCTGACTCTTTTCAAAGAAAAGATTTATCTGGAGGGGAATCAAATTCCTCACATCTGCTTCCCATGCAGATGCCTAGCCACTTACATCAATTGGACCAGACCTACATTTGATCTTTGTTTTAAGACTAATTAGTTTATGAAATATAAACATACAAGTTACTTGCCATGTTGAGTGGGCCCTCCATGGCACATTGCCAACTTTTAAGTTTTTATTTTTCATAGTATGTAGAATTATAATTTAATATAAATATGTATATATATATATTCTTAATCAAAAACTTCAGACTAGGAGTCTTTAAATAGAATTAAAAGAATATTTTAATCTTGCAAGTGCTTTCAATGTAAATATGTACGTCGTCTTCAGGCAAAATCGAATAGAGAATTCAAACAGAACATTTAAATTTAAGCATTAACGATATTAGTCGTTTTTGGATATAACTATTAAAAATAAGATTTAAATTTTAGAATTAAAAACATTTAAAATTGGCGCACATGCATTTTAAAACAAACAAACCCCGATTGGAATGGTTATTAATTAAGATCATTGAAATTAAGAAGCCTTTTTTGTAAATTCGAAAAATTGGTGCGCATGCACCTTAACATGCATAACATAAGAGCCAATTATAATGGCTATTAAGAACAAGTAAATTTTAGACTTTAAATTAAAAACATTTTGTAAACACGTATAAAATTTTGGCACGCATGCCCCTTATCAAAGACAGCATAGAAGCCGATCAGAATAGAGCCATAAGTGCAAGTTTACATTAAAATTTAAATGTACAAGCGTGGGACATAATTTAAAATACATAAAACACATGTAACATATAAAAAGACGCACATAAAGAGTCCGACATGTATGTGCCCTGAATCACATACATGTCGGACTCTTTATGAGTCCGACATGTATGTGATTCAGGTGCGGGAAATGAGTGTAGAATTATTGTTGATTTTTTAAATGCCTGTAAAAATTAATCCATACGTCCGGTATGTCGAGGGTAGGGGAGTTAAACAGGGAGAGCAGTTTTGTGAGGAAGGCCTCCCAAATATATATCAAGCTTCTTTCATCACAGCATTTGAGTATTGCCACCCGATTCCAAAGTGCTATGTGGTGTTGTTGTATCAACAATTTGGAAAGTTCAGTGTCGCAATTGCCAAGTGCCACTGAATGTTGGTGTTCGGATACGTGAGCAGCCAGCATTCTGGTAGTTGCTCCTATATAATAGGTGCATAGTCCTGATATTGGATTCTGCAGGGGAACAGAATATACACCAGATTTTTCCAGGATGGAAATAGCATCTCTATCATTACACAAGATTCGTCGCAGACATGGTCGTGGGGCAAAAGGTAAACGAAAACCATTCTACCTAAAGGTCCGGCAGATCGGGTCATGAAGCATCCACAGTATGGGAGTTTAACGCCTCTTAGTCTGAAGTTTTTGATTGAGTTAACTGTTGGTGTGACATCCAAGCCAAGTATTTAATATATATATTCTTATAATATTGTTATATAGGTATAAGATTTACACAAGAGAATAGAGTTTGTTTATAAAAAGAGAGTTAGTTTTGCTGAATAGAATTAGTTTATAAAAAATAA